AAAAAAAAAAATCCAACCACACATCCCTTATGCTTTTTCATCTTTGTTAATATGGTGCCTTCTTGCCCTTAATACTCTCCTTGCCTATGTAAATTCCCAAATCTCTCATAAACTCTTCCCGATTACCTCTGTTAAAGTGATGGTTCCAATGATGCGATGCCTACTGCACTTACTGGCCCTATAATTCATCTGATGTATACTTCTGACCTAGCTGTTACTACTGGTACCTTCCTTCCTCTGATGAGCCACTGAGCACTTTGATGACAGAGACTGGGCCTTGTCACAGACCAGATGTGGGACATACAGCTGTTAAGATTGTTCCCCATCTTTCTGTCACCACTGCCAGGTGATATAAGCCTTTGAATACTACTCTGGGCAAATTACTAGATCTCAGTCTCAGTTTCCTCATCTGTAAAACGGGGACAATAACAGTGCCAGCCTCATGGATCACCTGAGGATTATGAGAAAACACAGGTAAAGCACACCGCATAGTGTCTAGAACATAGCAAACTCTGGGTTGCTGTCCTCTCCGTCATTTCTGCTTCAAAGTTTAGCCAGAAATGATACAGAAGTATTTCAAGAGAGTTGAATGTGTCACAATCCCAGAGCAGGATGCTCTGGCCCCATCAGACAGTCCATCTCCCGTGGCAGCTCTCACACAGTAGATTTTGAAGGTTTTCTTGCAGTGGAGTCTGGTGTGGCAACCTGTAAGGAACCTGACCCAGAAGCAGTTCTCTCAGCACTGTTGACCCAGGTACAAACCAGCACAAAAGGGCATGAAGCAGCTGAGGACGTGGAAGAAGCAAGTGAGGGACAGAAAGTGCAGAGACTCCAAAGTAAGGAGAGGTCAGGCGTCTGACAAGGCCGCTGAAGTGGTTCCCTGTGGAGAAGCGCCGGGTGTGCTGGGTGGGGAGCAGCGGGAGATGCTTTCTCCACTTAGGGCTGTAGTGAGAAGAAGAAACAGACCAAGGCTGACTCTTTGTTCAAAAGAGTGATTAAACCATGAGAAAAGAGAACATGCAGGGATGTTTTTATGCTGCTGTGTGTGGGATCTGACTGTGTTGACTGCGTGTGATTTTATGACATTGTCTAGTAACAGCTGCACAGGACGGTAAAGCACGTGCACGGGTCAGTACGGCAGGCCCGGCTCCTCACGGGGACCACTG